GGTTCGCAGAACGCTGCAAAGCCCACCCGAGTGCACAGGAAGACAAAGGAAAGTAACTAAGCCAGAATAATTGGCTCAAAATCTGTGAAGCAGCAAAATTCCAGCCTGTTCTTGCACAGTGGGAAGGAGTTTGCATCAAAACTTGACTACCGACGCTTTGTTGTTAGGAGACGGAGATACCTTTCGTGCCGTAGCTCTTACTGCTTGCTCTGGTAGCCGTAATTCAGGCACCTGTTACACATCCCACTTTAAAGGTGAGACAGAACAGCTCAAAAGCTTGCAGAGGTGGAAAAGACAAACATGCAGCTGCGTACTGTTTCCCTGAAATAGTCCTCCAAAGGCTGACCGCTCTCATGTTTTCGGAAGCGTAGGTGACTTCATTTCCACCGGGAAAAACCCAAAGGGTGTTAAACTGCCTTGTTTTGGTACCGCGAGGCTTGCAAAGAACGCTTAACCATCTCTGCGCTCTGTTTTGAGGTAGGGTTTGAGCAGCGTTGGCTGCACGCCGGGCGTTTCCGCAGGAACGCGTCACGCTGGGCGTTCTTCGCAAGCGGAGGCCATCTCCGTATCGAGGGTTTTGCCCCTGCGAAGGGATGGGAGGAAGGAAAATTGGGTCTACCCCCCTGGAGCTGAGCTAGAAGGAGCCGTGCTAGGTGGTCTGCGGAGTTTTGCGGCAGCTGTTTGACGGAGGAGAGGAGAGTCACCTGAAGCGAGGTCATGAAAAATCCTGTAAGGAAAGAGGCGATGGCGAGCGGCACCGCGCGCTCAGCAAGTGGCGCGTTGTCCGCGCGGCGCCAGCGGGGTTTTCTCTGCCGCCTGCGCGGAGGTGTCGGCCGTCACCCACCTCGCCGGTGGCTCGCTCTTGGAAGTCCACGTGAAACTCTGGGCGCTGGCGTAAAGGGGCTTTTGCCGAAAAGACGACAAGCATTTTTCCTTTCGGCAGGGTAATGTTGCATGCGTTAGGGCAAAGCTGTAGTTTTAGATGATTTAGGACGAGGAACCTTTCTTGATGGCTAAGGAACGCGTGCCGAAGTCGTCCTCTCTCGAAGCGTGGCTAAAGGACTCTAAGGAGAAATAAGCAGTTTCAAGATGAACGTGTCTTTATTTCAAGAAACGGGAAAAAAACTTTTGCGCTTTTGGATCTCAAACATTCTTTACCGTTTGTAAATTGGTAAAAATCGGTTTGTAAAATTATTATTTATTAAAATACGTGTTTTCAGTCAAATTCCCTTGCGTAACGTCGGGATCTTGTGCATTATCCCAGACGTGCTGCAGTTCTGACCCGTGACGGAGTCAAAATTAATCTTAAGCTCTTGAGAAGAGATTTTTACTTTCTGCAGCTTTACCGTATATTTTTGCCACGACGCTTTTTGGTTTAGTCGGTTAGAATTTGCAAACTGAGTGTTTCTGGCCCTCCTTGTTTTTCCCAGCATTTCTCACACTGAGGCGAAAAAGAATGAAATTGGTAGCGAAGATTCTTGCTTTTTATAAGAAAAAGCTCACTTGTCTTCAGTCCAGGCTTTGGGTTCTTTACTCTTCCCAGCGCAAGTCCCAGCTGTGTGCCAGCGGGCGGCAGGTTAATTAGCGGAGAATGCCGTTAAGGGCCCCGTAAGCTGAGGGCTGGCTGGCTGTAAGGTTGAGACCTTTCTTTTAATTACTCTTTCAGGATTTCTTATTTGCTGTTGGTGGATGGTTTGCTTGGTTTGTAGAGCTGCCCACCATAACCAAAGTTTCCAGCTCATGTAGCGTTCGCTGGAAAATCAAGCTTTCCCTTCTTTTTCCCTTTGCTTGCCTTCTGTCCTTGTTGCTGGCGGCTGCCCTGGCCCCAACGAAGTTGTGAAACTTGACATCGGAGAAGCAGAAGGATGGAGGTCAACAGGCGAGATTTAGGCGGGGTTGCTTGGATATGAGGTGGAAGCCTCATTCCGAACCATCTACCTGACCTGCAGCAACCCTGCTTGCTCTGACTGCTGGTGTATTGACTCCAGCATGGAAATCGTGTGGGTGAAAAGTGAACAGCAAACTTTTGGAAAGGTCTTTTGTGTCCTGCTCGGCAAAAGCGGTATGGTTGTAGTACGTGAAGCAGGCCTAGGTCGTGGTATTTTGCAGCAGCTTGTTTGTGGGGTGTGTGTTACACCGTATGAAGCAGACAGGCCACTGTTAATACTTGGTCATCTTTCGTCTCGGTATGGAGAGGAGGTGCGCGCTCTCCAGGTGGTCTCAGCGTTGCTCTCGGTCTTCTTGCCTCTTCTGCGCTCCTGTTTCTCCCATGCCCGTGTCTCGGTTAGCCGTTACGGGATCGTACGTGACTTGACTAGACCCGGCAGATTACTTGCTTGCCAGTTGTTTAGGTTGGTGGGAGTGGATCTTATTCCTCTAATCATTCATAATTCCTCTAATTCTCTTTGTTCTTTCAGATTTTGGGTTCAGTAATATCTTCACGCCTGGTCAGCTGCTTAAAACCTGGTGTGGGAGCCCTCCCTATGCTGCTCCAGAGCTCTTTGAAGGAAAGGAGTACGATGGGCCAAAGGTTGACATTTGGGTATGCCATGAAGCTCTTTCTTTCTTACTTGGGTCTGATTTCTGCTCTGTTTGTTTGGCTTTGCTTCCCGAGTACTTAGCACGAGTCTCGGAGAAAAGCCCCCCATACGGCAAAAAATGTTTTTCGAAGAAGGGCTTGTAAAATTTCATGCTGGCTACTATGTCACATGTTTTCTTTATTGGGAGGCACGGTGCCAAAAATATTGGTTCCCCAAAACTGTGGTTCGCTTCACCGCTGTTGAATGGCAGAGGACTTACGGCGGTAGGGCTTGATCTGGCAGAGCTGAAAGAGGGAACTTCACGTTTTGCTCTACGAGGTTTTTGCAGAGAGCGCGTTAGCGCAGGGGCTCGGGACGGTCTCCCCCCGTGGCACTAGCTGTGCCGCGCAAAGCCTGCTTTGCCCTGCAGCCCTGCCTTTCGGCGCTGGCTCGGTTACCTGCTGTCCTGCCTCGCCTCCTCGCGGCGCTCCCCGAGCTCCGCCGGCCGAGCGGGATGAGTGGGAGGGAAGGGTGGCATAGCTTGGCGCCGTCCCGGCGGCAGCGTTGGGTCTGGGCAGGCGGGTTGGCCGGAGCCTCGTGGCGCGGAGCTGCCTCGGG